ATCTATTATTTTAACAATAGCATTTCGTCAATGGAAAATATGGCTTACCTATACCATGGCTTCTTTATGTAAAAAGCCTAAATTAATATCTTCTCTGCAAGCCATATTACGTACAGTATATATCACATCTCATACCTGGAAACACGAAACAAGACTGGAAAAAGAGCGTATAAACAAATCCAATCCTTTGACAAGATTAATCAAAGGTCCAAATATATGGAATCTTGCTGTTATTGATAACATTGACTTCAAGGATATCGTTTTTAAATATGGAAATATTTATGATGTTACGCGACAATCTGCGCATGCCACTCTAAGAATGGTGTTTCAATTTGAACTTCCATTCAATCTCTCATCTCTTGCTCAAGTAAATCCGGAATCTCAACCAAATTTATTTGGTCAATCCGTATTTACGTCCAATTGGGATGAAAATTTTGATAAAATAATAAACCAATTAGTATATAGGTATAACAAAAATTTTGGAATTGAAGAAATGAATACTGAAATACTTTCCATTGTCGAACCAGGGTGTCGAGTAAACCCACCAAATATTGTTATATTAGAACCCGGACCAGCACCTAATAGCAATGAAGCCGTGTTTAAATCAATCGATATGTATTTAGGAGATCTTGAACAAAATGTTGTTGATTTAGCATGCGACGCAGCTATTTTTGCAAGAACAAAAAAATATGCAAATAACAACTTAACTTGTAGATTTATTCTTGGACAATGGCATACTTCAAAAGCCATGTGCAGTGCATTAATTGCAGCATTTAGTGGGTATGGTATTTACAGTATGGCGGCAAAGCTTGGCGTCCGATTTCTTGACAAGTTAGAGCAAAACGTAGATTATCGTGCAACTTGTAGGGTATTAGAATTAATTCATACTGCTGTAGGAATAGCAATTCGCCTTCATTTAAACAATAACAATATACAGTTAGATACAGAAACTATATTCAGAGGAAATAACAATATTCTAAAAGTATGGTTTTTGTATTACCGTTTAGCTGGGTATTGGAAGGCTCATCGTATCGGTATTCGCTTGGGTAATGCAGATATGCAATTAAAAAGCTTGGCGGCATTCGCGCCACTATTTCCTGCTACTGGTAAAAATATTTATACATCGTCAGTTGTAACCTTTTTAGAATCAGTGTCACGTAATCCACAGCAATATGAACTATTCAAGCATGTTGCTTCGGTAAATATTACAAGAGAAAACCACTACTTAGCTTATGATGAAGCCTTGGAGCAATACGGAGTTAAATTTGTTAAGCAAAATTTAACTTCTGGTTTATCGGATCCAGACACTCTCAAACAAAAAATAACGGCGATTCAAGATGAGCGTGAAAGAATACTGTTGGTGTATGATGAGTTTGTAGAAGATAATATAGTTAATACAGGAGATCGAGCAGTTAAAAAATACACTGAAGCTATGTGGAAGCTTGTTGATGAACTTACCTTCGCATTTTATTTTCCCGATCCTGCTCAGCATGATCTTTTCAAGCATGCACAAGAAATGAATAATGAAGGTTATACACGAATGTTTAATTTTTACAGAAAAGGTCTTGTTCGGTTATATGATATTTTACATGAAGATGTTTACAAAACTAAGGAACCAGTTTTAAAAGGAAGACGGGTTAAAGAATTAGTTAATGTTTCAGCTAAACAGTATTTATTAGCAAAAAAAGATTGAGCATCTGATCTTACCCGATCTTGTTAGTTCCTATGTTGAATGAATTTCTACCTATATAGAAATATAGCAAAGTCTTCGATCTATTGTATTAACAAAAATTAATAATAAATTCTAAATTTCGTTCAAAATAACCATAAAG